CAAGCCCCTGAGGAAGATTTCTCAGTTCTTGAGACCCGTGAAATGTAACATCCCCTTACAGGATGCAGGAGTTTACAAGCTTGACTGTGAATGCGGTCTCTCTTATATTGTACAAACAAAGCGAAGTATTTGTGCTGATGTCAAAAACTGTCGCGTAAACAAATCTGCAGTCTGCGAGCATGTCATGGATAAACCTACACATTCAATGAAGTTTGACAAACCCCAGGTCTTTGCAAAAGAAGTCCGTTATCTACCCCTGGGTATCAATGGCCTCTCGCAGCATCAGGATGTTGCGAGAGGCCAATTAAAAAACAGAGGAAATTAAAAAACATCTTAATTTCAACAGGGAAGATGGTTTCTCAGTACCACCAGTTTGGGATTCAGTATTTCCTCTAATGAAAAATCCCAAACAGACATAAGACTGCAGTACTAATTAATATGTTTTAGTTTATTCTAATTTCTATTATTAATTAATAATAAATTGAACTTAAAAAAATTCATTCAATAAAATAATTTGTAAAACTTAATGTAGCGTAAATTGGAATGTTTTCTTTGTAAAATTAAAAATAAGGTATTTAATTAATAACTATTGTAACTATAGTGAAAAAATAGGGTGGTTTGCATTAATATTAGACATAACTGGTTGAAGACTGTACCACCTCAGTCAACCGTGACCATGGGACCTGTAAAGGGCCCGAAACGTCGGTTTGTTTGAAAAAACAAATATACGCGATTTAAATCCGGAAAAATAGTTTCATTTCCTATGTGTAACAATCGCGAAAACCTAAGAACTCGAAATGTACGCGATTTAGTTCCGAATAAATAATTTATTTCAGTGTCTATCTTTTGACACTTATGTATTTATTTTGACGTTATTAAGATTATTGTTATTATTTTGACATTCAGTTACATTTTACAATTATTATAATTGAAATTTACCCATATCACCGCGCATAAATTACTGAGTGACTTATTGAGTCCATATGTGCACGCCCGTGTGATATTATTAAAAAAAGTGACACCTGGTTTAATCTGTTGAATAATATAACTTAAATACATGTTTAATATACCTTCAATATTTGTATGCCTGACGTTTGGCTGGACACAGTGAAACTATACTTATTTTGTATCCATATGTCAACTTCTACGTATACTACCTATGTTACTATCACAAATAAATAAATTATGTAATTTGCTACTGTGATATAAGACCATATATTGGATGGATTGTTCATATCGTTTGAATTTAGATGTTTAAATGAACATTTCACTTCATTGCTTTTGATGCGCCTTTTACCTGAGTAAACATTAAGCTCAAACAGTAACGCGCTTTAATTTGCACTCGCTTGTCTTTTCCGATCGAATGAATTGGAAATTTTCAGAATGGGTATTTCGGAGGGACATTAATGAGAATTGATTCAAACAAAAGACAATCACCATTCCTAACAACCATCAGGGCCGCGCCGCACCCAAGTCTGCTTCATGAATATACAAATCCGGTTTTATTGGTGTTCCGTTGAACATTACGAGTCCGAAGTTAAACAAAAAACAAAATATCAGTCTACCTACATAGATAAAGAACGAATTGTGGCATCTATGTGTTGGGGCACTTGAGTTACTGTTATCCCCTGTGACCGTGGTGCGCGAATAATTTAAACGAAACGCTTAAATTGACTAGCTGAGTGGGAATCACACTTGAACTGTTCTTATCTAAAGAGATATTGAGGAGAATTTCAATTTTAAGTATATAGTCCACTCAAACCTTTAGCGCAAGTCTAGAATTCTAATAATTTTTCGTTAATGTTCAAGTATATGATTCTGGATATCGCCTTCTCTGGATATGAGAAAAATATGTAACATTTTATTTATACAGGACTAGAAAAAAGGTCTCTAATTGGGTTTTCTGTTTTATTGCACAGAGGATATAATAAAGTTCGTATTATATAGTGTGCCTTAGAAAGGGTTCCTGTTACCCAATGTTAATAATACAAAGATAGGTCCAGTAACATCATTGAATGTACGTTGAGGACACCTTGTTAACTATTTAAATAAACGAAAGAACGGATAACACGAAACCATATAATGAATACGTACACATACGAAACTTATCAACTTTAACTATCATTATTTTCAAATTCGCAGTTTTCTTTATAGTATCAAGTGACGGGAGGAACAAGTGGTGCGCCTGATGGTAAGCTACAAGCTTGTCTCTAACAGTTGCAATGCCACTCAGAGCTTTAAATTGCAAAGATCTGAGGGGTACTGCCACTGCGCCCGTCACCCTGAGACATAAGTAGACAAGTCCCATGTGCCTACAGGCATTAGTCAAAGATGACGTAAGTTTTTATTACCATTTTTATGCCAATTGTTATCTTGTGAACAGAGACATTAAGAGTACTTTCGAGAGAGAAGCGCATGTATCTTTTCCCTGGTTTATGTCGCTCTTGGGGATCGTTATCGCCGTAAGCTGCTGCTCACTCTAGTCAAAGATTTTTCCTCACTTCCATTACTGTCGCGACGGTGGTTGCTCTACCGGGATTCATCCGAGGAATTCATTAATAAATATTCCCGTCTCCTCAGAGGGTCATTTGTTACGAACAAGGAAAAGTTCACTAAGCCAAGCGTGATACTGGCTAAGTTTAAAACGCAAAGTATTATATATTAATAATAGGAAATGGAAGAAACAAACCAACGTTTCGACCCTTTACAGGTTCCATGATGACGAGTGAAATCCTGTGAAATCGAATCTTCGAATGAAATTGTTTTATTTCCTTTGTGTAACAATCGCGAAAACCTAAGAACTCGATATTACATTAACATTATATATATCCTGCGTTGAAAAACTGAATATGCGGTTGCTATGTAAAGTGAAAGTACACGTGTTTTCTGCCCTCTGTGTCTATAAACAAGTCGATATGACGAGAGTTACCGAAATCTTGGCATATCTTCTATCTATCTGGTAGTTTATGTTTTCAAACCATTTATTTCCACACACATTAACTACATAATACAGTAGGACTATCATAAATAAAAAATTCAATCTCAGTGTTGTTCGTCCCGTCATTTGGTATCATAAAAAAAAAACTAAACTACAATATTTTAATGCTACAAAAATAAGAAATAATCGTTTTGTGTTCAATTATAAACAGGGAATTTGTAAAGTTAAATGTGAATAATTTAATAAATAAATAATTAAACATGGATATTTCAATCCGCCCTGTTTACTGTATCTGTTCTATGCATTTGCTAATCTATCTTTATAGTATATACATTGTACACTTAACCGGCCTAACCTAATTAAGTCAATCAGTTACAGTAATAATTTGAAATTCGTATGTAAATTCTCTCTTTGTTATCTGTACATGAATAGTGCTAGGGGCATGTCTACGATGCGTACGGGTTACGTAGACTGAGTGGAGTGCCAATTCGTAGTAACAGCGTAGCTCACGCTACGCCGTTAAATGTAGCAGCATATTTCCTTACTGGTTGCCATAAAAGTTATTGACTTGTTATCTGAAAACAGCTTTATCCAGGACATAACCAGGGCGTGGTGGGCGACCGCGTCGTCGGCGTCTCCACATTATTCCTTTCGCAATCTCGTCATATTCTTACAATTTATAAAGCTCCCTTATTTCTTAAAGTCGTTGCTCATTTTAATGACATGTTGTTTTACATTTTCTTTGTGCGCGTTAGCCGTGCATGCGAGTTCATAATCGAGACCGTATGTCACAACGACTTAATAAATGGCGCCATTTGAGCGTTCGAATGCGCGTGCAATGAATGATGCTCATTGTTGTGTTTTGTTAATTACGTAAACCTTATATGGAATCCTATCTACTTACCTATTAATTTCGTTGTTCAAAAATATTGTATAGAAAATAAAAAATCTTGGCATCTGAATTGTATTTTAGCAATAGAACGCTGTGCCAAAAATCGGTCACATTGACGTCACAAGCCTTGTTTTGCTGTACATGTACATAGTTTTAAATAAATTGAATACTGAAATACTGGGGTGCACGAAAGGAGCCTCTCCGCACGAAGAACAATTTCTTTGCTTCTGGCGCATCCTGGGCAACAATTAGTTGCCCGTTGGTCGTTGGAAGGTTAGTGTTATAATGTATGCCATCTATATACTAATTAGAAGTTTTATCGTCTTACTTGTTAGTAATTAATAACGGGTGTTTCTAAAATTTAATCTGAGGAATGTTACAATTTTATACCCGTCTATTATTGGTCATAAATGCTATTTCTGATTAAAAGATCATAACATAGTTTTATAGAATGATTTAACTTTAACAACAAGGATGACATTGAACTGTTTGATTGTATAATGTATACCCGTGTTGCTCATGTAGATTTTTACACATTACTGATGCAGATGCTGATTTTTGACTTTATCATCAGCAGATGCTGATGCGGAGGCTGATTTTACATATTAAAAAATCGTGAAATGTAAAGATCCTTATTGAATCTACGTGAAAATTTTTTTTTAATGATTGATCCAAGACACGGTCTTCCTAGTTTGGGCACAAGTCCCCCGTTAACTTTTCGCTTGAATGTATTTTTAAAATTGTATGTGAATGGTAGAGAATAAATGATGATTATTATATCTATTTTATACTCTCGCTTCTCCCACGGCCTAAAAGATTAATTTACAATTTTTGAATGGGAGCCCCCGGCAATGGCACAGTCAGGGACTCATTAATTATTATTATTATTATTATTAATCATTAACAAAAATCAACCTGCTGATTGATTTTATCATTCAGCTTGCGCAGCTTTATCATATTGGAGTTTTCTCAAAGGTAAGAATGACTGCGAAACTGCTTTTTCGTTTTGCAGTCTGTTTCTGGATGGCATGTAAATTAATGTCACGGCGCAAATATCCCCAATGAATATCAGCATCGATGAAAGCGGAGGCTGATGTGGACATTTTTATTTATGCGGATTATCCGCGGAAGCGGAGGCTGATATTCGCAACAACCCTAATGTGTACTTACCAATAAAGAACCATACGTATGATTTTCCGTAGAGGCGTTGTTTATAGACTTCGCAGAGCACTCGTCGAGCAGCAACAACGTAGAAGAGGCCGACGATAACACGCGCGTCCTGACGCCGCAAGTTGCGAACCGCGTCCGCGGGGTCAGATAGGAACGACTGCCGCGTCACAATTTCGATGCCTATACGCTTGCAGTGTGCCTCCAGGTCCTCCACAGTCTAGAAAAATTGTTTGGATTATTATAACTGAGTGGATTATTATCATCATAACGTCGCTCACTTTGGTGATTTAACCAAAAATTGATTTTCAATTAAGGCATACTTGCATGCTGTGAAAGAGTTCGTCTAGGGGAGTACTGCCACTTTACCTATTTCTGCCGCCAAGACGTAACGTGAGCATTACTGCGTTCCGGATTGGAAGTGTAAGTAAGGGTGCTGGTGAAATGACAGGCACATGGGACTTATCTATAACTTATGTCTCAGGGCGACAGGCGCAGTGGCTGTGCCCCTAAGCCTATGCTATTTAAAGCTCGGAGTGGCACCGCCACTGTTATGGATAGACGTGTCGCTTACCACCAGGCACATGACTTGGTCGTCCCGTCATTTGGTATTATAAAAAAATATAAATATTATTATAATCATAATGTTTGATTACTTAAATTCGTAAACAATAATCTGTATTTATATTTTGCCCAGCGGTTTTATTACTTACTTAGAATAGAATCCATCTTTTGTCCTTCCTTTTACCCCTGCAATATTTATTATTCGGGAGCCTTGAATATTGTTTGTACGTGTACATTTGTCTTTTTATGGTACGTTTATTTTTATTGTTTCCATAACATTAATTAAAAAATTTTATTGCTGTTTATGTTGCCGCCTTATATAAATAGTAAAAATTGGGTAATACAATAAATTCACTTAAATAAATTACAAATAAAACTGTTGTAATTTTATTTGTCATTTACTTATTACTAAGCTAAAATTAATAAAGGTGAATAAAAATCAAATAAAATAAATCAATAAATTAATGTGCCTTTTTAAAACAGTAACCATTCAAATTGTAAAATGGTATTAAATTTATACACATTGTCAGATAAGCAAAATAACATACAATGTGTTGATTTGCATTCTCGCCATATTTACATAGGTCATTCTAAATCCGAAACTGAACCCAAATCACTAAAAAAATAAATCGAAAAAAAATTTCGTAAATTCCTATATTTTATTTAATTGCGGTAAAACAAATCTGATACAAAGGTCATTCGCTTGCACGGCACTTTCAAACATTTTGAACAATGATCTTAAATGCGCAGAAAGAATCGCATTTTAGATCTATTTGGTGGTGGGGTGCGGGTAGCGACGGCGGAGGGTGTCGTATCGAGCGCGCGATTGGTAGATCAGTCGACCTTGCTTCCCGTACTGCGTCTACGTCACGCTGACATTCCACACACATTCTATTATAGTCTGTCACGAAATGCCACGTTCTTTGGTATGTAAACCAGAGTTAGTAGTGCTAAAAAGAACCGCTACCAGGTTCACTAGAACCTGCGTGGTAATCCATCAAGTACAAGTGCGTGTCTATTCTTATGGTATGATGTGAAACGTTTGCTTTACGCGAAGGATACGAGTGTCGAAGTTTCTCCTTTCAAAGTTGTGGAGTCTAATGTTGAAACGGAACTCACGTGCGAATCTCTTCATGTCTGGTAGTAGAGCCACCACCAGCTGTGGAGTTAGCTACTTCTAGCAGTACTTTCATGTAATCTAAAGTTGGTAAGTACCAAATCTAAGTTACAAAAAACTTTTCTAATTAATGTATATAAATAGTAAATTATAACAATACTAGTACATAATCATAATTAAAAAAATAGGTAAATAAGCGATCGAGAAACATTACGTATCGCTCGGTGAAGCCACCCGGCGGGGTCACTGCTTTTGCGTGGTGCATATGACTTGAAACAATTTTGCTAAACTTTACTAGATACAATTAGCCAGAATATTGAACTGAATAATTTTTTTAATATTTTTAGATGATTTAGCATTATTTCTATTATTATTTTTTTAAATATGGCGAGAATGTAAATCTACACACTGTATTTGTAAATAAATAAAAACATAAAACATTGCGTTAAAATCGTGTGTGTAAAGATAATAATATAATCCATTGAAATTCTGTTGTTAAGAAAAGACCTTCCTTGCAGAGACAATATTAGGCCAAATAATGTGAAAAATATCACTTTGTAGGTATAATACTTTTTCCTTGTTATAATTAGTTGACCTACAGAAAGATATTCATAAAAACGGCTAGCAATTAAGCATATAATATTTTCAAAAGTTTATAGACCAAAAGTTAGCCAGCTAACAAACCTTTGGCCAAGTTTTTAAAAAGTTATTGTGTATTATTTTAAAGAAAATTTTCAGTGTAATGTCTTCATTATCAGATTTGGCTTTTGTCTGTTTTTTCTAACTTGCATTTAGTTCTTTTCTTCTCAGTCTAACCAATCTAAACCAACCTAACTCCGGTTATTTGCCATATGAGAATGAAATAAATGCATAGAAACATAGTAACTGTACATAGTTCCCATAATATAAACACCCTAGGATCGCCATATTCTATGCCATCTAAGTATTTGTTACTTTATTTTTGCATTCTTTTGTTCCAAAACGTTATTCATTAAAAAATTCCCTTTCGGCGATGAAAGCAACAGCGTTGGTAGAATTCTTTAAAACCACTTATGTTGAAAAAAAAACTCCCTCACTAATTACATTTTGAAACGGCTAGAAAGGCCGGGCCCCATTCATTGCGGGAACTATACAATCCACACTACATGCCCCTTCGTTAAATCCCGACTTGTTTGCATTTAGTACATAAAAAGTTAAATTGAAAATGGTAATTTTGTACCAACCGGCGCAAAATATCTCTCCTGTAGCTGCACTGAGAGGCAGAAATTTTATTAATAAAATGTAAATATATTTGTGCACTATGCTAATATATGCACAATGAAGTTCATACTTGTTTTGGAAATTCATCAAGTCAGTGAATTATTTAATTTTAAAATACGGGATTCTTGGATGATATTTGGTTCGATATAATCTTGTACAATTTAATAAAAGCGTAGATAACTCTGTGTATACTTTCAGCCACAACGTTTATTTCTCCGCAACCCATACATTTTATCATAGCAGTGTGAGTAAGTTTCATAAGATATTCGCGCTCTCGTAATGGCAAGTATAAACATGTCTGTTAAAAAAGAAAGCGTCCTTACTGGGATTTGTTTACAGCTCCGTTTACCGCCATTCACACATGCACACATCGAATAAACACGTGCATTTACATATAGAAGGAACCGCATAACAATGGGGTGACTATGATGGTCCTTGTGTTATGAATGATTGATTGATGATTTTTTTTAAATTGTAATTGTACAAATTACAGAAAACAGATTACAGCATTGTTTTCAAACAAAATTATTTTAAAAAGAAACATCAGTAAATCTGCATTCCAATTATAACTGTACACAGCATTCAAAAAACTATAGATTATACGATCTTATGAACAAAAAAATAAAAAAGGACACAATAACAACAATACGGAAAATTCTTAAAATAGGTTAAATGAGTCGTTTAATGAAGGACTTTTTGAATGCGGGAAGGCTATCACGGAATATATTATTATTATGGTTACAACAAGTATCATTATATGTTCTACAAATTCGGTAAATTGGACTATTTGCAGAAACATTATTACTTACGAAAGCTTGATTAGCAAACAATTGAGGTCGGCGAATGAACGAGTTGGCACCCTTATGCAGATCTTATCCAGCAATATGTCACCAAATCCACCATTAACTATTTTGTACAATGTACATAAGTCACTGGTAACTCGACGGTGAGCAAGGGTTTCTACCTTAAACTTATTGAGTTTGCTTTCATAAACCAACAATTTACATCTCAACCCAAGTCTACTGTAAAGCATTCTTAGAAATCGACGTTGAACAGATTTTATCTGATCGATCTGTGTTTTGTATATCGGAAACCAGGCCGATGAACAGTATTCAGCGGTGCTTCGAACCAGTGCGTTATATAATATGAACCACTATTGCTCATGCTTAAACGGCTTCGTGGTGCGGCATAAGATGTCTTATAAGATTTGTTTACGATATATTCATAATGCTGCCTAAATGACAAGGACGAGTCAAAATAAACGCCCAAATCCCTGACACAACACACACGGTCAAGCGACGTTCCACTTAAATTGTAGGAGTAGTCAATTATTCCTGTTTTTTGAAAAAGTTACAATCTGACACTTCCTTACATTTAACGACAAGTGATTTTCACAACTCCACGAGTCGATCAAATTAAGGTCGTCTTAGAGAAGTTGTCAATCTGCCTGACTCTCAATCTTGCAATATATTTGATATCGTCAGCATAGGCATTTACTTGTTATATTTTCCAATAAATCGTTTACAAATATAAGGAACAATAGTGGACCCAAGTTTGAGCCCTGAGGAACACCAGTTGCCGCCAAGAAAGGTGCAGAATCAAAGCCATACATACAATGAAACTAGCTATGTTCGGCTTTCTAGATACGAAGTTAACCACCGGTAAAGATTCCCGTGAATACCCAAGTGAAAGGCCTTCTACAGAAATTAATTTAATGTGTTTAAATAGTGGTAGTAGAGGTCTTTGTGAATGAGTACGCCCAGTGAAGTACCGCCACCTTACCCATTTCTACCGCCAAACAGTAATGTGAGAATTAATGCGTTTCGGATTTGAAGGGTATGGGTGCTGGTGAAATTACAGGCACATAGGACTTGTCAACTTATGTGTTAGGGTCTTCTTCTTAGCGTGTCGACTCTGACGTTAAAATTGTTTCAGGACCAGTACTTGGCGACTGACACGGCATTATCAGTAGTGTAGTACGTGGCCTCGCGTGTGCAGGTGTAGAGACACGCAGGACACGACAAAAAATGGGCCATTGTCTGAGGAGAGACACCACACGTGCATGCGCTCTCCGAGCCATAACTCATGTGCATGCTTTCCTTGTGTTAGGGTGACGGTGCAGTGGTAATGCCCCTCAGATCTTAGCGATTTAAAGCTTTGAGTAGTACTGCAACTATTATAGTGTA